GTCGGATAACAGCCTTTTACTTTCAAGTACCCACATTAACCTAGCATTCACTATCTTCTCGAATATTTTGCTTCATAGAAAGGGAAAAGATCACATAGTACCGGATTTACTTTCTCGTTCTGTTCCTGAAGTTGATACTCTCGATAACGATTTTATACCGAATGAAACTATTTCTGGTAAATGGTACTTAAAAATGATGAGAACAATATATGAAAATCGTTTAAAATATATGTGTTGGCGAGTGGAAAGTACTCATTTATACAAATGTCTAATGTAATATAAAAATAATGTATTATAAAAAATCATTTCAGCAGGAAGATAATGAAAAATGGAAAAGGGTTTGTTCCTAAAGAGAAACGTAAGGAGATGGGGGGCATCATGATGACCCATGTGCTGGACATGCTGGGATTTTTAAACCATTTCATCGTATCAGCAGATTCTATTTTTGGCCCAAAATGAAGTGTATTGATGAACAGTTTAAAATATGAGTACGATCTAATGCAATTGCATTTGCAGATTCTGCCCCTTTAATGTCAGTATGTACTAATAGTTTTTTGTAAGCTTTTCAAATTGTATTGCAGTAGGATTGTTACAATACCCACCCACCACGACGCCTAATTGCACTAAAAATTTCTAAATGGTCTTGTGACAATTTATAAGTTAAAATAAATTTTAATTTATGTGTTTCTTGAACATATTTGTTGTACATTAATCTTAAACTATCGATACATACCAAAAAACCTAAAAATCCTGTTTTACAGCGCGTATTAAGTATACTTATTAATAATATACTTATAGGCAAAGTCTAAAAACCTAAATGTAACTTCAGCATTTTCGGCACCAATACCCCTTTTAAATATGTATGTGCTTATCAGGGACCTCGAATTTAGTACATCAAATAAATTATTGAAAATTGCACAAAATTGAGCAGTTGCATTACAATTTCTAAATTCAGTTAGGTCTGTATTATTTTGTAAATAATTAAGTGCATCAGCCACACTTTTACTGAGGGTTTGAGCAGCAAGCTTCACTTTCATTTTTTCTCGTACCCAATTCACATTCCTTTGAAATATCTTAGTACCTGCACTTAATTCTTCTTCAAATTGCACCTTATTTAAAACTTCAATAAACTCCGATTTTATTTCTTCGCCATTCTCATTAATTAAAATTTGTTAGCTTGCTAAACAATTCCGCACAAGCTTTTACATTTGACAAGCGTCAAGATGTATATATACTTGTTCTTCTGATATGGGATGTTGAAAATATGGACGTATATGACCTTCGTCTAAGGACGCACCCAATTGAATTACCGCTGCTAAATTTGTGCAAGTCCCATCAAAAGTAATAGACGTAACAACAACACCTGAGTCATGTACAAACTCAAGAACCTTCAAGATTTTGTTCGCTTTCTGATCGGCTGTCATTCCATTTATTAAAAAATAGGCAACAGGCAATTTCCAATATCCGTTGATCCCAACAAGCATGAAGACGAGGGCCTCACGTGCTTCAATCATTTGCTCATTACCGATTTCGGAACCAAAATCTACATAACCCGAAAATTTTTGACCTGTCCATAATATTTATTTTTTAATGGACATTTCATCCATCGTTAAATTGCATATTATTTTACTTTTAGCCATCTTATATTCTTCGACTTTACGTTTTAATGTATTTAATGTTTGCACTGTCAAACCTGGTGATCCATCAATACTTTGATACCACTTCATCAAAGTATCGGGATGTGGTAAGCTGTTATTAAATGTTTCACGAACATACATATAGGCAGCTCGTGAATAATAATTTAACGTTACAGCAAAAGCTCTTAACTTTGGGGTGTATTTCTTTTTTGATGGACCTTTAAGAATTTTGTTGAACAATTCTTGGCATGCTCCATCTGGTAAAGATGCCTGTAATAGTAAATTAATAATGAGTACTTACATTGAAACATTAATAAAACATAAAACTGTATCTATGTAACATTATTAATATTATAATAACTTTTCTTACTTGTAAAGTATTTACAGCTTCATCTGAAATAAAACCTTTACTTCTCAGATGTTCTCTTAATTCCTTTAGAGTTCCCACTTTTTTCGTTAATCTTCTCTTTGCTTGTTGAAGAATTTTAACTTTTTTTCGTAGATTCCTTATGGTATTACAAGCAATTTTCCAATTGTGGCGTGCTTTTTGTGGTTCATCCATATCACTTGAACTGCAGTCTCCTACCATTACTCGTTTTTTCTTCCTACAATTATAACATAAGAAAATATGGAAGTGAATTAAATTAAAAAAACTACACCTTCGAGGCTTCTTAAAATTTCCTTTAATCTTGCTTCTAATTGATCCTGAGGATGATGAAGAAATGTTTTCTGATGCAGCCAAAGTTGTGGAAGATAGTGTTGCAGTCAAAGTAGCAGATGTTGAATAAATGTTGCTAATTGTAGCTGAAGAATACTTGTTGAAAGAACTGAAACAATCAATACTAAATAAATATAAAATTTAGGTATTTAAATAAAATAACTTCTTTCTCGCTAAAAAATTTAATGTAATCAGTAATCAGTACCGGTTTCGGCTACTAGGCCATCATCAGCTAAATTGTCAAAAAAGAACAAAAAAACTCAGACATAAGTTAAAAACTTAAAATTTTTTTAAAAATAATCAATACTAAGTATCTAGATCCTGACATTTTCAGGCGATGGCACATATGTGTCCATTTGCTTTTATTAATTATTTGGTACCGTCTACAAAAAGTGAATTAGCCTTAAAAAAAATTTTTTTAAGTTTTTTTTTTGCATTTTAAAAAATTCAGCCGTTGAAGACGTTAAAACAAAATTAAATTAAATTAAAGAATAATTACATCACTTACTTAGCCGATCTTCTGGTTCTTTCGTTTTCTTCCACTGGCTTAACATAATAAGGTTCAGGAACAGCAGTCTTTTTGATCAATGTACGATTCCGTATATCTTTATATTTTTCTGAATCTTTAAAGTGATCACCGCATACCAATGCAGATTCACGCACACTTTCAATTCCTAAAATATCTAACCACTTCTTTTTTCTATCTTTATCTTTAGGAAAACTAAAATCAGTTTGTATGTTATATACATATATTTTCCAATTATATTAGAATTACTACTTACAAATGAAATGTTCTTTTATTATTTTTTTTCGTACCGCATTCCGCACACCGCACACAATTTAACCATTTCATAGATATTTAAGAAAAAATACTACTAGAATGTTAACTTGTTGGGGCTTTTTAGTGGCTAAAGCCAAAACACAAATGCCCTCACAAACCTTGTTTACTTGGGAGAGGGTTGTTCTTTATTAGGGTTCGGTAAACATGGATAAACATTAGTCAGGTAAATTTATTTTCAAAGAAACAATAAAAAGATTGGTCTGTTCGGAAATACTCGGTGATCGTCGGTCGGACGGTCCGATCTGAGCGTGTTCCATTCTGGACTGAGTGAAAACGTAAACAAAACACATCGAACGCTGGCTTCAACTCTTGGTGTTTATACAGTGCTAGCGTAAAGTAACCCCCCCTGTTTAACTTCCGAACAAATTGCGATATCAATATGAACAAAAAAACGTCAGTTTCTATATTTTATCAGCACAAATATTTTCTTATGGAAAATTTTGCCATCACTTTTAGTTTTTCCGGCAAATAGATTAACTTTGTTTTTTTAAATGGAACACCCAGTATAGTATGGTATCTTCCGAAAGATGAAAACAATACGAATCCAACGGTACCTCACAATCAAATATCGGTTTATTAGTTTTTCGCATAAAAATTAAACAAAATGCGGAATTTTGCCGGAAAAACCAACGTATCTTCGTCGACTACCTGTCGAAATGCAATCGGCCAGGTAAATGGTGGACGGTAGGTTAACGGTCGGTATACGCTCGAGCTAAGACGGATTTAAAATTGCAAGTTCAATTACTTATTTTTTTTAGAAATGAAATAAAAGTTGTTTGGAAGTATATTAAATTTATGAATTAATCATATTTTATCAAAAAATATTTATAAAGAAAAAAAGTCAATATAAGAAATGAAATTTTCTTATTAAAGATTTTGCTAGTATAGGTAACGGTTGAAAAATTTGCTTAGTGTTGTTATTGAATAATAAAAGAATTTTTTATTTATTAAGAATCAAATATTAAGTAAATTGTTCGATATGATTACCTTGAACTTCTAGGCAGTGGTACCATCTTTGTAGTGTTTCCTCTCTCACACGGCTTAACATGTGATGA